TGAAGAAGAGGGTGGTTGGGTAACTAAACTAACTGTAACTTGGGTTTTGATTTGAGTAAGATTTTACAGCAACCTTCCTTCCCTAATTGATTAATGGTCATGTCTAGTGGGATTGTAGTAAAGACTGCGAGCTCAGATTAGGTAAAGGTCAGCATAGCCCATTGCCCAAGTCCACAGTGCAATCACTGCAATTCATATACCTTCCCAAGCGTAATGCAGCCGGGCCCGGGCAAGCGGGCATCTTCATGGCTTTTGACACAAAGCGCCCACCAGTCACCACAAGTTCACAACAGTGCCGTTCAGTCACAGGCCGGAGCACAACTGGCCGGAGTGCAACAGGCTACTCCTAACATAACCTAATCTGTGAGGCTGCGCCTCTGTTGGGCCTGTTGTGGTGATTAGTATAGAAATTAATAGTATCTCAAAATTGTTAATATATGTAGAAGAACCGTTGAAGACTGATGGAAGCCGACGGTTTAAAATTCAAAACAAAGCAGGGGTAGGACGCCTCACGTAGGCGGGTAGCGAACGGGACTATAAAAGAAGCGGAGTAGAAGAAGAGGCAGCGCAGTGATGGTCAGCCGGCGTGCTGGAAGGAAGTCTCGTGTCTCGTGCATTCTGTGAGGAAGTCTCGTGTCTCGTGCATTCTGTGAGGAAGTCTCGTGTTGGAGACTCTCCAGTGTGATCGATAGAGTGAAGTGTAAAGGACAGTATTCCGGTGAAGTCTCATCTTATTGGGTAGGACATCAGAGAAGAATTTAGTACGCCTTCAGGGAATTAGCTACGAGAAGAAGATTGAACGACGAATTGGTATCACCACGCACGCCCCATCACGTTTCGAGAATTTGTAATCATCGACGAACGTCCAGCACAGAAGAGACTATTTCTAGTCGTAGCCATCAGCGAACGTCCTGCACCGAAGAAACCGATTTCATCCCCGTGATTTCGTCGACGGTCGAAGCAACGATAGTAAAGAATTCACGTAGCATCCTCACGTTTAACGCACATCGCCGTGCTTTAGGATCCATGGCGACGGCTCTTCGAAATTTCGCGAGTCTGTAAAGTGTACTGCACTCAACGGCATCAGCCAGACCGCCCTCAGCTTCGCCTTGGACGCTATCGCTTCCACAGACCTCGGGTGATGTACATCTGTGAAAAATTGAAATAGTATTCTCATGGTAGCTGCCTTTAGTTTTTCCCGCAGTGTTCGCCTCGAGTAATCATACTTGGCCTGTTAGGAGATAGTATCTAGCTCGAACGCCAGTCCTGTACTAGAGTAGGATTTTCTGTCTTTAAGTATATAAGTGTTGACATGCTTATTTGTATCTTTTCCCTTGTCAATTCGTAACTTAACTGCCAGCGTGAGAACCTTTCACGCGCCGACCCTCGTGCTAGAAACCTGACAGTATTTTAAAAATGTTTATTTAAAAACTCTATCGAGAGTTCCCTACGATTGATGAGATCAATACAGGTGTCGAAATAACTAGTTATCTTGAAATAACTATAAATCCTGTCGACGCAACCCCCTTATTCGATGAGTACAGTTTCGGTTGAAATCACTACATCAAGACTAAAAGAAAAGTTAGGAATAAAGTAGAAGTAGGAAGAAATTCTCTAATCAAGATCTCCTAACGACAAACATTCTCTAATCAGTGGTAGGCTGTGCGCCTCTGTGAAGCAGTGGCTGTGTTGTGCAAAGCAAATTTACTGTTAGCCGGAGTTACCCACAGTCCACCCATAGCTCATTGATCTGAGCCCTGAGACAATGTGTAGATATTGCATGCTGATGGTTGGCGTTAGGCCCAGGGCCTGTTTACGAGTCAATTTTGTTACCCACGGCTGCGCTTCCCCCTCAGTCAAAGGTCGAACGGCCACTTGTCAAATTACGTCACTTGTCAAAGGACGTCACTTGTCAATAAATTTTGGAAGAGAACTATGCTATCTGAAACCTTTATGTGAGGCCGGAGGAAGACAAAGCCGAGTTGTTCACGGGCCATTGCCAGCATCGCGGCTGTTGGCTGATTGGTGGATGTCCGGAGTACCGGAGCGGCGGAGAGATCCAAGGCGTTTGATTCAGGGCTTATTGGTGTACAAGACTAAGTACAAAATTGGTGGTGCATGGCTGTGTTCCCTGTTGCTTTGTGCCAGTAAACTTGGATTGAATTAACTGGAACTAAAACCAGGAAGCACGGCCACGAATGGTGAATGCTACATATGTTCTCAGCAAATGAGGGAAAAGCCACAGCAAAGATGAAAACTAGAAGGTTGAAAACATACTCTGATGACTATGGGGGCAAATCATGCATGTGCATTCATTGTTTTGCAATCACACATACAACATAATATATATAGCATTTCCAGCGTTTATAAGGCCGGAGGCCTGTCGCCGATTCTTAACAGCGCACAATATCCACAGCTTGTTGCGGTCTGAGACTCACAACTCACTGATTCAAATTCTGTTGTGCTTAACCACCCTGCCTCCTCACCAATTCTGACCAGAAACTGGCACACAGAGAAATGAGAATGATCGAACCCGCACCTCTCTGCGTCAATCTTGGTACTGTAACCACTGGGCCACTCTCAAGAAAAGAACAAGAATAGGCATATCCAGATCTATTCTTCAATTTTAAAGATACTTTACTATACTTAACACGTTGGCCGCAATGTGCGCTATATAGTTACACGCTCAACTCTCAAGAATCGCTGGAGACAACACCCAATATTTTCTGGATGCTCAGCTGTTGCTGACTTGCTGTTGACAAATCAGAAAATTTTCAGTTTCAAGGCAATAAGAAAATGATTTATTTTGTTTGTATGTAAAGTGATATACGTACTACATAGGAATAACTTTAGTCTTTCAGTTTCAATACCTAACATTTAAAATCCAAGTACAATAATTTCTAGTGAAGAATTTTATTCATATTTTCAGAAGCCAAGTCCATTTTGTGTTGTGGTTGGTGATTTCAATGTGCATTAAAATATAGGTACCTATAGTCCTATATCATTATATTCGGGGCTCTTAACAAAATAGGACTGATCAATCTAGTTGACTGCTTGGCTGAATTACCTAACCTGAATTACCTAACCCCCCATTCCCTCCCAACCTACTTTTATGTTCATGTAAGCATTTTCTCTATTATGGACCTTTGTTATGTCACTCACTTACTAGTCACTTTTGTGTCCAGAGATTTGGTACTGGGGTGCCCACTCACTGCCCAGTACCTCATGACAGTGTGATGCTGAAAAAAAAGATGGGTAGTGATCATAAGCCAGTGCTCATTACTCTTAATAATTTTCATTAAATAGCAACTTTCAGAGTAAACCCAAGGTGGATTTTTAACCACAATACCTTGGGGACTTGAAAGGGTGTCCTAGGCCGGGTAGGCCCTGCTTAGATTAATGGAAACATTGACATCTTTTACATCAACACTGACTGAAACTGCAGAAGCGTGTTCAAAAGAACCTGATAACTAATATGTTCAAAATGCCCAAAGCCATGATGAAATGATCCAGTGCTGGATAGTCAAACAAAGATGCACTACATTAACATTTAACAAAGTTATGAATTACCCCCACACTAATCAATAGCACTCCAGAGCACAGAAGCTCTGGTGAAATGATGAATTAAGAAAGCAAAAAAGGAGTGCTTTAATGACTTGGTCTCTGGCATTTCCTATTTTACTCCCATGACCAAGCCACCAACTACCAAGGTATGGAGGAGAATTGGTAAACTATCAAAAAAGGGGAGCAGTCCATTACTTCACTCTTCACTCATAGGTGATGCCAGCCTGAGGGCTTCTCACCCTGCTGGTGAGCCTTATATAACATAACATAGTGATCTCGGCACTGCAGTGTAGGCCTGATGTGGCCTGTCGCCGATTCTTTTCCTTTTTGTGCCTTGTTCATAGAAGATCTAATATTGTTTCATTTGACCGGATATTTTCATGACTGACGTCAGACTGACGTAAATTCTCAGGGCAGTGAGTGAGGAGCATCCATCAGCATATAATGTTTTTTTTTTAGATATGACAAGGCACAAAGGTATACTAAAAATATCTTCTGCTCAGTCTGCTGGCCATGAAATGGTCCATAATGCAAGGTTGCAGCACCTCCAAACAGACTATGAAGTTTGGCTCCTGGGTTGCTCAATCACAGCTCTTCATGCATGGAGATTTACCATCCTTGTAAAGACAAGCCACCATACAAGTCCCCTATTGACCTATCATCTTACTACCCAATTTTACTCATGCTATGTATTACCAAACTAATAGAGGGCCTTGTTAATTAACTCACAGTTGATATACTTTCTGGAAACCATAGTCTTAGTTCCACACAGAAGGGGTCTGGGGTTTAATGCTTCATCTTGGTGCTCTAGACCAGGTTGCAAGACTGGAAATGAGCATGTAGGTACCCGGTACCTTACTTATGGAGAAGGCAATTATCTGATGCTGTGTTTTCTAACCTCTCCACTGTAAATGACTTTCAATAGCACCTGGGACTGCTATACATTGCTTGAGTGGGATTTCACTATTAACCCAGCCAAAACTGAGTGTATCACCTTTACACGGTGTAAGTTCAGGCTCTCATTATTGTTTAATTAGGCTTAATGGCTAGCAATGCAAGTTTGATTTATGGTGTAATGTAACTCCTTTTCAAGCTTTAGTGTTTTAAAAAAAGAAAAAATCAGCTAGCAGAGGGAAAAGTTTTAAGCTACTTTTTGATGCTGCTTGTTCAGCCAATAAAGATTTGTGCAATTCTTTCAGCTAGCCCTATCATAATCATAATGGATCAATTTGTTTGCATTTGTTTTATGGTTTGTTTTTCTTAATGCAATAACCCATGTGTCATCTTTTTAGTGCGTTTTCTCATTTATGGAAAAAATGCACTATTGTGCTTGCCATGTCCATCTGTCTGTCTGTCTGTGACTTCACGTTTTTGTTGACGAGAAAATCCGCTCTCAGTCACTGACTGCAGTGAGTACTGAGTTATATTTTTTCTCCTTAGTGTTTTCACAGAGAACTTGCAATGTGTTGTTAATTGTTATTACAATGGCCTATTAGCATTCTGAAGCATTTCACTAGGGTTGACCTGGTGAGTCTACCTAGCAGCCAAACATCTTTCATAGCTGTAAGCTCTAGCAGTCAAACTTCTTTTATAGCTGTGAGTTCTAGCAGCCAAACATCTTTATAGATAGATATTTAAGCTCTAGTAGCCAAACATCCTGTATACGGTAGCTGTGAGCTCTAGCAGCCAAACATCTTGTATAGCTGTGAGCTTTAGCAGCCAAACATCTTTTATAGCTGTGAGCTCTAGCAGCCAAATATCTTGTACAGCTATGAGCTCTAGCAGCCAAATATCTTGTATAGCTGTGAGCTCTAGCAGCCAAACATCTTGTATAGCTGTGAGCTCTAGCAGCCAAACATCTTTTATAGCTGTGAGCTCTAGAAGCTAAACATTAAAAAAGTTTTACTCTATTATATACATACAGGTTTTTTATTTAACCTGGTTTATCTGTCCCATCAATTTATTTAAGACTAACCATGGGTTTTTATGACCCAAAATATCCCGTTTTTATTGTCGTACATTAACAATCCTCTTGTTCACAGACTTACAAGTGGTACCTTTGGGAAGAGATGCTTTGCGATCTGCTTCTTGCCATCTTCATCCAATGGTTGCTGTCTGTGAACGTCCTGCAAGCAGAACTGGAGCAAATTTGCAGGCTTTGATTGGCTCTCCAACGGCTGCACGGTACTTTTGATGTGCTTGGGATGATTAGTAGCTGTTGATTTTTGTTGATGATCCTTACATAAGATTGTCTGTTGTGATTCAGGTCAGGAGTACTTAGTTCTTGATTGTGGGTCTCAAGCATTTCTTTTCATTCATGAGTATCATTGTTTTACAAACCATAAAAAGGTAGTTTGTTTTAATGTATTTCTATTGTGTATCCTGATGATGACACATTTCAGTACATATCTCAAATGAGCTTCATTCAACTCACTAATGAAACCCATGAGGCCTGTCATTTGCTTTGAAGATTCTAATGCCAAAATGTATTTGTACCTGTTATTATGTGCATGATTGTATATCTGCTCTTGTATAAGAATGTACCAGTAGGTATCATTGAAATGTGTAAAAAAGAAAAATCAGGTCTAAAAATAACCCCACTAAACAAAATTAGAGTGTAAAAAGTTGCTTCAGAGAAGAAATTTTCTCTCCTACTGCTTGCTACTTCTTGCATAGGTATGAAGGAGAGCTAGGAATTGTAAACTGTAAAAATTATGAGCCACTGGAATAACAAATCTATTTGAAATGACGGATGTAATCTGGTATTGATTATAAGTATTCAATTTTGTAATCATTTAATTGAAACCTGTTGTTCTAAAAATGGTTGCATTACTTAACTGTACATTATCTTAGAATGTATTATTGCTATACTGAATTCTATCATGATTCAGTTTATAAGGCTGTGAATTTCAAACTGCCAATTTTACATATAAGAATAAGATTTTTCATTCAGTTGGTTATCACTCCTGGTATATGTCTTTTCAACATTTACTTCTACTTTTTAATTGAAGATATCGACATTAATTGCACGTTGTCCTGACGATTAATGTAGTCTTGTTACCATAACCCCACTAAACAAAACTAGAGCGTAAAAAGTTGCTTCAGAGAAGGAATTTTCTCTCCTGCTGCTTGCTACTTAGCTCTATTTTATGTTATGGATTGCATGTTAGTGGCCAGCATTGCGCAAGTATGCTACTGAGTAGAGTAGCCTTTGAAGTTAAGGGTTTAGAACCATTGGCGCCGTAAACCCTCAGCCCACTACTCCAGTCAGTATACCATAGTCTTCATGGAGGCTAAACCCCAGCGTGCGTCCACCTCCACACCTAATCCGACTCTCTACCGAAACCGGACCTAACCTAACCTAACCTAACCTCATTGGCTGCAGCTTGGTGGAGAAGAGGGTGCAAGTGTGGAGGTATGTGTATGCAGGGGTACAGCTTGCATGAAGACTCTACTGACTTGGATCGTAGTTGCGGACATGAAATGCCAAAATGTGTTTTGCGGCAGCGTAGCTCTGAAGCAAAGTGTAGCTGTGCTTGTTTAGACTACTATAGTCTGCATGTTTAGACTGCTATATATTCAACTCTAGTTGAATTTGTGGCTACCGGCTGCGTACTCGTGTGAAGCAAACATTGTTTTTGAATCAAAACCTACTCGAAATATACCATATGTCTAGTGTATGTATGCAGGCCAATATATAGCAATGTAACTAACTATCCAGATCCCAACGATACTAATTTCCCTAATTTCCGAATCTTACATTTCATTGTAAAAAAATTTGAAAAGTTGCATTTCAATAAATCGTCCACAACGCCATTATCTTCAAACTTCGATAGGTAGTATTCTTGGGGCACGTTCTAATTTAAAAATAATTTGCTGCATAATAAATACTTACTGCTTTACCCATTGAATATCATTTGTCTTTTGAAATCTCGATGTACGACTCCTAGAATTGAGTTATTTTCTTTTTTAATATACGATTGGCCCCAGTGTATAACCATGTAACTTATTGTTAGTTAATAGACATCCGAGCCTCGAAGCATCTCGAATTTTTAGTTTACTTTATTTGTTTGAAACAAGAGGGAAAACAAACTTAGTTGATGGATAATCAATGCTCATTTAATTTATTGTTCTGCAAAAACGCTTACGTACGACTCGGGAGTATATGCTTTCTTTTCATGACGTGAGAGAGGCAACAGCAACAACTAAATCCTATTTGCAAATGCAGTTAATACTTTCACCAACCTGGTGCTTTCAAATTAATTCTGCTAACGGATATCTCTGCACATGTAGGTATTCTTATTTTAATTTATAATGTTTTATTTCTGTCACAGAGCATCATCATGGCACTTCTGGGGCCCACGGTATCGAATTTGAAGGAAATATCTGCGTCGACTTCCACTGCTGCTGCAATGAAATCTCTGCTGCCTTCAGATTTAAAAAAGTACGTGCTTGCGAGCACATCTTCGCTCGGAGGAAATAGCCATGCGTTGTCCCATAAGCCGAGAGCGAAGGGCTTCTATAATAATGCAACGAGGAGTAGTTTAAAAAGGCTAGGCAGTCGCCCGTTGCTTTTTGATCGGGATAACTTCCGCGGTGTCTCGAGCGCAGTCAAATCTCGGACGGACCTTGCAGCACAGCCTGGTCCTGTGCAGGATCAAGTTAAAAGAAAGCGGCAAAGGGTAAAGAAACGATGGAAAACCGGATATAAAAAGAAAGAAACTATCTCAAAAGAATTACAAACTAATGTTATAACTTCCCAGAAAGCCGTCGTTAGTAACTGTCCTACAGGGAAAAATACCTCTACTGTTGTATCCAATCATCTTAAGGAAATAGCGAGAACATCTTCATATCAGACATCACGATTTACTGATACTCATTTACAAGCTGGAGCTTCAACTTATACGTGTCTCTCTGAAAATTCTAGGCCAAATTTAGAATCCATTCCTTCTGAACTCGGTATCTGTATCTCACATGATCAAAATAAATTGAAGTTTTCTCAACAAATTCAAGCAATGTTTCCAAAATTAAACTTACCTGCGAGTGCCAGTAGCATCGCCAAAGAAGAGACCTCTGCTATTCCTTCTATTTTCGAGTGCGTTTGCAGTCAACCCTCACTGATCAAAACTCATCTCGGTCCCTGCAAACCTCAGGTTTCCACACATCTGGAAAACCTTGTTCCTGTTCAACTTGAAGTAGACATCGACACAGAGCCTGCATCTCCTGGATCTTGTACTTCTAGGGCGAGCTATACGTCATCCTCTTCTTCTTCTTGCTCTAAAAATTTTCAAGTAATAAATTTGGAGGAAAACTCTGTGTGTAGTACAAGATCTCAACCAAATGATGAACTTGCTAGAGTTTCTAACTCGGTCGCTGGAAATTGCAATCGTTTTCTTAGGCAGGAAACTGCACCTGAAGAAGCGGCACTCGCTGATGTCACTGCCGAAGATTCATCATCAGCCGCGCCTTCTACTTGCTCACCAAATCCTATTTCCCAGCTTCCTTGTCGAGCACAGAAGCGGAAACGAAAGTGGACCAAATTTTTGGCTAAGACAAAACAGCTCAAACTTTCTCCTGTAAACGTAACGTCTGTTAGTAGTGATGGCTATGAGAAAGTTGTCGAACGTTGCACAGAGCCAATCTCTGTTCCTCATAATGAAAGTGAAAATGTCGAATTACTTCAGATGTCCGAGTTGTTTCAAGAGACCTCACCGGGCGAGATCTGTTCGCATGAACCGAGCTACGGATCAGATCCATGCATTGGGTGCAACGCCAGTTCAGGAGCAGTCATACCGGTGTCTTTACCTACTCAGTCATCGCTATCTTCTTCGTCTTCTTCTTATGCTTCAGCCTCGTCATCGTTCCACTGCTCGAGGAAAGTCCCGTCTTCTCATTCATCGTCAGATTCGGTGTCATGTCCCGTAAGAAATTTAAGGTCTTCAGTTAAAGCAAAGGAAATATCGCTTAATTCAGTTATCAGCCCGACTGAAACGACTGGGAACTCCAGTTTTAGGTTGCATGCCGACTCGGCTGTACCGGCTGACGTGAATAAATCAGCTGATAGCCCGAATAGCGAAATTGTCGTGAAGAAAATTCAGTCTCCTTCCGCTTACTGGGATCGAAGAGCCGTAAATACCGCTGATGATGCTGCTGCAAGTTTTTACTCTGCATGTGGCCATATGGAAGAACCTGAACATGCGCCTTCTAAGCACGGCCCAATGACGCCTGAAACTTTTGATGTTTTGCGACGTGGTTGTAACTCCTACCTGAAGAAAAACGTCTCTTTTGATAGCAAGTTGTCCCGCGTTCGTCGTAAACGAGTTTTGAGAAGCGATGCTGCGTCCATAGATGCATCTGCGATGACTGGAGAGTATGTCTCTTGTCTCTCAGCAGGATCGTTTCTTGACAACGTAAATTTTGTAACTGCCAACAGTCAGATCAACCTATCTTCTTCATCATGTACTTATGGAACAGACTCCTCCGGACGAAATGAATCTGGAGACAAGAATTTAAAAGAAAGTCGCAAGCGGCGACGAAGACAACGATCACCTGGTTCGTTTTCTGAAGCCGGGACTAGTGGCGACAGGCCAAAGAAAAAACGAAATAAAAGCAGTTTATGCAAAAAATCTGGTGCCAGCAACGGAGTTCCAAGGCATAATGTAGGTAATCAGGAACTGGTTGATGAAGCCTCCGTAAAAATCGCTGCTTGCGTAGAAAAATACTCATCTATGACTCCCTACGTTGGAAGTGATTTGGTTCCTAGGGAAAATATGGCTCCGCATGACAACGTAGATCGTGATCATAATTTGTTGCCTTTGACTCAATTTAACGTTTTTAGGGAAGAAAGCGTTTATAGAAATGCAAACGAAGTGCCAGTGAGTATGAAAAATTTTGCGCCTGAAGGATTAAGCGGATTAGAAACTGCGGATTCAAATGATGAATATGATTGCTACAATTTGGTTGAATTTGCAAAATGTCATAAGTTATTGTTTTCTTCGTCACGATTTAATATTTCGTCAGGATTTAATTGTTCATATTAGAACGTTTGATTAATGGAGACCAATAGTACACATACCATAGCTATATATGTTAATAATGTATATGGGTACCGTCAAACGGGGTAATAAGGGACGGTTTTGAGAGTTTTTTGTTAATAACTTCTTACCAGGAAACATTTCATAAACAAGTTTGGGCTCGTTTTAAAGGTCTTTGCGAGGGCTATTGTAGGGCATCTCAAAAAAATTCCATATGCTATTAGTAAGGTGCTAGACGCAATATAAAAGGCTCCAGAATTAATCTGTAAATGGTGTAATAAGGGACACTTGAAATAAAATTAAAATTTTTTAATGTGGCAAATTTTTTATCTGCTACAGACCTTAGCAGAGGTTATTTTCCAAAATCTCACTTTTCACACTTTTTTTCAGGGATTTTTTAGAGGTAATAAATGTAAGATTTCTCAACTTGCTTTATGCCGCATAGATAGTAAAAATGTTGAACTTTATGCCACTATTTTCAGTTTTGCAATATTTTGATTAGTTTAGCTGCCACAAAATTTCTACAAAATGTTGGAGGACTGTCCCATATTACCCCTATCGTCCCTTATTACCCCGTTTAACGGTAGCCGTTGTGTGTCCGTTTCTAGTTCTGTCGATTCTTACTGTTACTTTCATCGTCTGCAACTTGTTATGAACTTAAGAAGGATGTAGTTAAATCTGAATACCGTTCAGTACTTATGATGCTTATCACTAGGACTGAAGGGTTTAGTATTCGCCTGGAGCGTTTTACTGCACGCCCCACCTGAGGACTCGCTTTGTTTGACTATCATTCTCAGCTGTGGGGTTAATTTGTTGTGTACGGATTTTATGCCCTTCCGTTCTTCATTATTGTGATACTAACGAGGTTCTATTTACGCCTGTTGCAGCGCGATGGCCATTTGATATCTCCCATTCTCTGTAGGTGATGGACAATTTCTTAACAATGACATGGATATTACTTAAGACATTTAACATTGGTGAAACTCGCAAATATTTTATTTTGTGCCTTCCGGATATATATTTTTTCTTTTTGATATCTTAGTAAACCGTTATTCATTTTTCCGCTATAACTGCTATTGTCACTGAAAAATACGTCCTGTTTTACTTCATTTTCGATTGTACGATGGATAATTTCTACTTAAGGTGGTCGTTTCAGTAATATTGACAACATTGATAGTTGTTTTTTTCCCCGCAGTGGCGCGAAATTAGCGTGCGTTTCTATTCGAATTTTCGAAACACCGCCTGGTGATCTCGAAACATCTGCCATATGTAATTGTCGCAAGCTTATTCACAGAGAATTGTACTGTGCAGATCTTCCTCGCATGTCATCTGTGATCCGCATGTCAATTGTATTTGTCAATTAATTGCATATAATTGAAAAATAATTAATTGCATATATAATTGCCGAGGTTGGCCGCATAATATATAATAAACTGCACTGCAAACGTTGGTTAACTCCTACATTCAAAAGAGTCCTAAAGGTTCTGAAGCATATATCATATTCATCAAGGGAATAAAAGCTGATCTACGATCGACCCAATCGTTACGGTGCTGTTATATATTTCTTATCTCATTAAATGACAGAATTGTATAGCTTTTCATTACAGCCTCAGGTTTTCGCAGACATCGGTCCAGTATCCAGATATCCTTCTAGCACCGTATTTGTCTGGAGCATCTTGGCGCTTGTCAATACCTACCTAATGACCAGTCAACTTGGATAAATTATCACTATTTTGTAACAGCTCAAGTCACAAAGAATAATCCGTATCTATCGTTACTATAAAAGATTCCCAAAGACTCTTTGATGAATTAGGCTGATGCGATACGGTATATCAGGTTTGTTGATAGTAAGCTTCATTTCTAAATGCATGGAGATTAAACTGGTTAGCATGGTTAGTGAGACGGTGATGGACGATATAAAGCAAGTGCTAGTAGAAAAACATGAAGAAAAATGTCGGTTTAAGACAGTGCTCATCGAATCATAGGAACTGGGTAAATTATCGCGATATTAAAAGACGAAACGATTGCTGTGTGTGTACCAAGGAAAGCTAGTGCCTGGTCTGACGGGTGGGCTGTGAGTGCACTCAGGGCAGCTGGTCTGTCGACGCTACATCTTGGAAAGCAACTAACTACGTCCTTAACACGTTGACTACAATTGCTTCATCTTGTACTATTATTTCATTTTTTGTACTGTTTTTATACAGGGTTGTCAGACGGTCACTTTTTCCAGACCAATTCCGTGATTTAGTTTTTCTCAATTGCGTTGGCCGGCTAAAATTTATGATAGGGGTACTTCCTAATTAAATTTTAAATACTGCTAAAAGAAAATTAATGGAATTTTTATAGTGAAACCTACAAATAAACTAGTATATTTTGAGTTATCGGCCTTTTTTGTTCTCGGATTTGGCCAATTTTAGGCAACCTGAATTATGTACCACAACGTCCTGGAGAAATACATTTCGTGGTACGCATATGTACCATAACGTAGTCAACGTGTTAATATTCTGTAATACTAAAAAGTCAAAATTATTGTAGCGAATTAGATGTTAACTAATTTACTTTCAATTAATATACTGGACTTATGTAGGATGAGAATTTTTACACTTGGAACAGGGGACGCATGATGTCGATATGACAATAGCAACGTCTTAGCTAGCTCTTGGTTGAGTACTGTGATAAGCAGGCGTAATAAGTATTGTTTGATTACCCTTCACGTGCCTGTTGTGGCATTTATTATTAACTCGTGACTAATTCTTAAGAAAGTTGCATGCACTTTGATACCGTCGCAGGCGAACAATGATTTAATTATATAATGTTTAGGGACTCAATCCTGAGCAATCTTCACGACATGCAGTCATTGTTTTTGCGTTGCTGGTTACAACCTCTGAAAATTTACTAAAACACACTTAACACAGATGTGAAAACTATATATTCATGCTGCAGGGCTGTGAACACGAAAAAATCTAATAAAGTTACCGTTTTGATGTGCTGACTTCGATTCTAGATACCAAAACAACGTAATATAACACCAAATACAAAGATCTTTACTTATATGTGCCAGTAGGAAATATGTGCCCACTGAGGTGCCCACCCACTGTGATGCAGCAGATAATTTCTGATCAGGGGATGAATTCATTCACTAAGGATTTTTCAGAGTGCATGGAAATGTTTTCTGTTACTTTCGAAAGGGAATTAAAGAGGGTCTAACCCTCACAAAATATTTTTTATATTCATACTTCTTCCTGGAACACTGCTACGAGCACAATTGGTTCGTATGAATTTTTTGAGAAAATGACTTAAAAGGTGAAGTGAATCTCCTCTGTCCATTTACGAGCTACATAGAGAGACTCGTCATTCGTTTCGTAATGCAAATATCTAGACTTTGGAAGCCTTTTTCTAGCTTCGTTTTTATTTTTATAGAGGACTTGAAAGTCTTGGGACTCTTGATATATTTTTTATAGAGGACTGGAAAGTCTTGGGACTCTTTCTCCCCTACCCCCGATTTTCTTTGGCTTTTGCAATATTTAATTACAATACATCCATAGCAAGAAGAAAACTTTCATTCTCCTAAATTGTTGCCAGAGACTAAAGAACCCGACATAAGCATTCCATAGCGCCGGCAACAGCATTTTCTCACTTATGGAGAAAATGCACTATTGTGCTTGCCATGTCTGTCTGTCTGTCTATCTGTGTCTGTCTGTCTGTCTGTGTCCATCTGTCTGTCTGTGTCCATCTGTCTGTTTGTCCATGACTTCATGTTTTTGTCAATGAGAAAATGCGCTCTCAGTCACTCACTGCTGTGAGTACTGAGTTATATTTTTTCTCTTTAGTGTTTTCACAGAGAAATTGCAATGTGTTGTTAATTGTTATTACAATGGCCAATTAACTTTCTGAAGCATTTCACAAGGGTTGACCTGGTGAGTCTACTTAGCAGTCAAACGTCCTTCATAGCTGTGAGTTCTAGCAGCCAAACATCTTTATAGATGTTTAACACATTGACTACGATTGCTTCATCTTGTACTATTATTTCATTTTTTGTACTTTTTTAAGCAGGGTTGCCAGACGGTCATTTTTTCTGGACAAATTCCGTGATTTAGTTTTTCTCAATTGTGTTGGCTGGCTAAAATTTATGATAGGGGTACTTCCTAATTAAATTTTAAATACTGTAAACTGGGGTAACTTTGACCACTTTTTTTCAAAATGATGCCATTTTTTACTAGATACCATAAGTTAAACTTAAATTGAAACATGCAAAATACAGGTCTATACTCTAGCTTTACTCACCATAAATTGCTGGCTCCTGCCTCTCATAGTTTCGATGTAATTAAAAAAAATCGCTGGTCTTTACCCCAGCTCTGGGGGTATCTTTGACCGGGTGGTAAAATCAATTTTATTTTTTGGTAAAATAACTCCAAATAACTCCATGCATTGTAGTAGATCAAAGAATAATCCGTATCTATCGTTACTATAAAAGATTCCCAAGGACTCTTTGATGAATTAAGCTGATGCGATACGGTGTATCAGGTTTATTGATAGTGAGCAGGGGATGAGACAATTTCTAAATGCAAGGATATTAAACCGGTTAGCATGGTTATTGCGACAGTAATGGACAATATAAAGCACGCGCTAGTAGAAAAAAAACATGAAGAAACTTGTCGGATTAAGATCATTTACTAAAATACACTCAACACAGGTGTAAAAATTATACATTTATGCTCCAGGGCTGTGAACAAGAAGAAATCTAACAAAGTTGCCATTTTGATGTGGTGACTTTGATTTTAGATACCAATATCAATGTAATATGGCACCAAATACAGAGGTCATTTACTTATATGTGCCAGTGGTAACATGTGTCCATTGAGGCATTGGGAATGTTTCATGAACTTCAATACAAAGTCCGTTAAAAAGTTTATGTACGAATTTATTTAAATACCACATTGTTATTTTTCTGCTACTGTTGTGGTGCAAGATAATTTCTGATCAGCGAATGAATTCATGGTTGAATTCGCCAATCATTTTTCAAAGTGTCTGCCTGAAAAGGTTTTCTGTTACTTCCGAAATTGGATCAGGAAGGCTCTAACCCTCGAAAAAATCTTTAATATATTCATACATATTCGTAAAACA